ATAACTTTTCTAATGCAGATCTCTTACAAACATAACCTGGCTCTAATGTTACCATAACTTTTCTAATGCAGATCTCTTACAAACATAACCTGGCTCTAATGTTACCATAACTTTTCTAATGCAGATCTCTTACAAGACTTATACCGCTAGAAACCGAGTTTCGATACTCATGGTAGGCAAAGTACAGATAGTTTTTTGTGTAGCTTTGTGCTTAATAACAAACAACAACAACCTTGAGGCCTAGTCTCTTGGACAGCGACCTAGAAAATACGTGGTGTGTGGTTGAAATGTTAACATGGATTGATTTTACTAATATAATTGTACTGGCACTGCTCATAATGAAGTGTTTGAGTGCTTCTTGTATTACTGTAGTATACCATGTATATAATAATATGTCACCATATTGAATTAATCTTATCTGTTTCTAAAACGAAAAGTTAAGATTATATTTCAGACTCGATTCTTTATTGCAAATAAACCGGATTTTTTTATCTTTAGTTGTATTACTTCAGTTATATGTGTTTCGCTGGTTCACCAGCGAAATTAAGAAGGGAGTAAGTACTTTATCATATTGTCAAATGAAACTCAAGTATTTGTGGTATTTTATAATAGAAGGAGTTCTAGGAGTAAAAAAACGAGAGAATTTATTCACTGGTGGTTTATGTCTCAATTTAGATGTTTACCGACTGAGTGTTTAATAATCTGCTTAGCTGGGAATATCCTGGAATATATAACCAAACATTTTTCAGTTACATTGTTCATTACTTCAGTTAAAGTTTATATACGAGAAGCCAAGATTTCCAGATCAGGTTTATAGCTGGTTCTTTGAAACAAAAAGTTGAAAAACTTCTCAAGGTTTATATCTAATCAGAATCTTGAAACACGATCTACTTTATTAAATATTCCAGATTTTTTACTTTGAACCCGCTTGAACAGAAGTTAGGAGTCTTGCCACCTTTGGCCCAATTACACGAACAAAGTAAGGCTTTAGAATTGCTTATAATCAATGCACGTAATCGTTCACCATTCATTTTTTTTTCTCTCTAAACATCACACAAACAACGCAATGGATATAAAACATTTTAATTTGTTTCAAATCAGTATTTTTTAATATTGCTCTCCAGTGGCACAGCGGTATGTCTGCGGAATTATACTGCCAGAAATCGGGTTTCGATACCTGTGGTGGGCAGAGCATAGATAGGCCTTCGTGTAGCTTTTGTGCTTAATAACAAACAACAACAACTTTTAATATTACTTTAAAGCACAATCAGTGCCGGCCTCAGATTACAAGCTCCCCCCAAAAGACATGTTTTCAAATTAAGGCTCCGATTAGTCTCCTAAGTGCTATTTTATTGGATTAAGTTAAGCATCATATATTTTGTTCCATTTTGCGAGCGATGCAAAAATAATTAATGTATTTTAAATAAAAATGTTAATTTTAATTCGTAGAGTGCCTTACTACTCAAGAGTAAGGCTTTACGAGTTTTCTTGAAGTGAAATGCTGATTGGCATCTTTGTAAGAGACTGTGGATCCCATTTCGATAGATACTGCACTCCGTTATGACACCATAATATAAACAAATACAATGTTTTTAATTCATTTGTTTGGAAGAGTGCAAGGCCCCCCGAAAAGTATCTTGTTTTACTTGTACTTCAGGCCGGCTTCGAACCAGATATTGATGTTCGAAGTATATTGAACTTTACATTGATGGTTATATAATCTTGGAAGTTAGCAGAAAGATATTTTCACAGTATAATGTCAAAACAATTAAATTTGGAAATAATTAAAACTTCATCAAAATATACATGCATAGCGCTGTGAATCTATATTAGATTAAACGTCTTACTTCCACACACATTAATTGTTTTATGGCCAATGTTTAAGACTATACTGCACAATGTTTTTAACACCCAAATTAACGGTTTTGACCAATATAAGGTGCCAGTTTGCATGTAATTTGTTTGCACGAAGTAAATATATATACTATATAGACCTTCGGACGCTTGTTAAAATTATCATGTTTTCTAACCAAAGGTGCTGATTGACCTTATGGTAGAGCTCTGGATTTCGGTCTTGGCGAGCCAGATTCGAATCCGTGCAATAACACAAAATATTCCTCGCACTTTAAGCTGTGAGTGCGTTATAAGAGTGACAGTTAATCCCTTATTATGGATGGTAGAGTGTTATTGACTGGTAAGTAGATCAAAATCATGAACGGCGACAGATAACTTCAATAGCTTTGCCACACAAAAACATAATACAGCATTCCCCTTTTTACCCCAAACCTTTAGCATAACGATAAAAGCTCATCTTTATAGTATTTGTAACTTGTAAGTGGAATAGACTATTGTAATATTTTATGCTTTGGGGGTATATTCCCCCTCCAAAGGATTGCTACCCAATTCAAAATGTTTTTGTGGTAGTTCATTTATAGTGTTACAACAATCACTTTTGTTTCTTTCAAGTTACTTAATACAGCGCATGTGCATGCCTTTCGTATCTATTGGAGGAGGAAGGAGAGGATGGTTAGAATTCCTGAAAGATATTTTGTTTATGTGCCAAACACATATTAAAACATGTTAGTATCTCACCGAAATTTCTACTTAGCTGTAGAGTTATAGAAATCATTCCTTTTAGATAGTACCTGATTGAATGTTAGTTCACTGGTAAGCCTGGGGGCTTATAACACTACAATTCGAAGCTCAATCCATGCGGTAGGCACAGAACAGATAGCCAGTAAATAAATAAATTGGCTAATGTGTTTCGTGTAAGCACTTAAACTGGAAATTAACATTTTGTACATTCAAATATAAAAGTATCTGCTCGTACTCAGCTGTTTATGGTATTTAACGTTTTCTGCATGGTTTTCTAATGAAGTATTAGCATTTTTTGGTTTAAAATAGTCGCATGCAATGGCTTTTGTTAACACTTTATAATTGGAAGCCCGAAGTTGTACTGCTACTCTCAGGTTTGGTAGGCCGGATTCTTTACAGTCTGTGACTTGTCGGCGATAAATTTCAACAATAAACAAACAGCAACACAGTCCACTTGTTTTAAAATAGCATATTAAAACAAGTCAAACGTATATATAAATGTTCGTTACACTCTTGGTTATCACAGTAGTATTCAGAGCTTGTACGTAAATGATAACCAATGACTGAAATAGTTGATATAGTATTGTTGTAGAGATTTATTTAAATTAGTAATATAATTTAACAATGAATAATACTCTACATGTAGATAGTACAGTACTTTACTATAATAAAACATACATATTTATGTTAATTTAAGTGTAGCTTTCCGTTCAGTGTGACAACAGAATGATGATTTGTTGGCTTTTCATTGGATGTTTGTGGATTCAACGTGAACAGTGACGCAATTGTTTAAGCTATATTTCATGCAAAATTGCTTTCAGATTTAATCATAATAGCACCTATTTTCTACAAATTTTCTGGGGGACATGCCCCTAGATCCCCGTACCATTAACATGCTTTGGTTGTATGCTGCTTGTCATTCGCACAATATGTGTTGGCTTTTGATCTCACAAATTAGAACCTCCCTTTTAAACATGCTGCGTACAGGACTGAACTGACTCGAAAATAAGAGTTGATTTGGAGGTAAATTGGATTTTATTCGGTGTGAAACTTAAAAAAATAGAAAACAAACATATACCAACGGCCGCTCGTTAACTGTCGCCTGTCCCGGGAGTGTTCGTTTAGTACAGTACACTATTTAGGAAATTTAGCGTGACTGTCACAGTACTTGGTTATAAGGAGGTTTCTCGTGCAATTTTAGGGTTGTCAGACGGCTTAATGAAGTGTTTGTGAATACATCGTTGTAATCTGTCCATTTCTCTATGTAATTCAGTGTTTTTGTCGCTCGCTACATATAGGCTTTTATCTGGAGGAGTCTCCAGCGGTTTGAAGCATGTTGACACTTCCCATCAACCACGACTGTTTCACGTGAAGGGCAAACGAAGACTTGTTGTACGACAGGTAAGACACTTCGTGGTTGGATAATTTTACAGTACACTCAGAATATAGTAGATATCTTTTCAAAATACGTAAACATAAATTACAAACTAGAAAAAAATTGCTGTATGTTGTGAATATAAGTGCAGAGTGAGAACACCGATATTTTAAGTAAAAGTGTGGACCTCCTTATTTGAAAACTCTAGATCGAAAACAAGTATAACTAGAGGGGCACTCAGTAGAGCGTATACTTCCGCCAAGCAACGTTAATCATATTTAGCTCTCAAAACATACGAAAATGTCTCCATATGTCCGTCTTTAATAACGGTCACAAACCATTTTTGGCATGACAATGAGGAATAATATATTACATACGTCCACCAAATTTCATCAAATCAGATAATATTTGACTGAGTTATAGAGCAAACATAGTGTGAAAAATTGATCCCATGTTAACAGATAGAGATTCTTTTTGGATTTCCGTGACTTTTACCTTTGACCTTGACCCTCCAAAAACTAATCACTTCTAAGTTGAGTCGTAGTCTAAATGTATATCAACTTTCGTACAAATCCATTCAGACGTTTTTGAGATATCTTGCTGACAAACACACACACAGTGGTGAAAACATAACCTTTGTGCACCTTCGGTAGCGGAGGTAATAAGTTGAATATCTTATATGTCCAATTAAATATATTTCATTTAGATATATTACCATTTTAAAATTTCCCTAACTTAATGCATTCTATTTCGTATCACTCGCTGAAAAAAAGTTTTAAATGAACTCTTTGTAACTGCAGACAGGAAGTTTGAAATTAATGTATAATAATCAAAGTAGTTTTAAAAAAGTTGAATATATATATATACAAGATAAGGCAAAGGTTACTATGGAGTTGGTACTAAGGAAAATATTACTAGGACAATTGAAACCAACTTAATTATTGCTTGTTTCAGAGTAATAGTTAGAGATGAAACTATTTTCTAAATGAAACAACTCTATAGTCACTTTTCCTCACCTTGTATACACACACACACATATATATATATATAATATGTATATGCGAAAATATTAATAAAAATCTTTCTATAGTAATGGGATTTTTTTGTTTGTTTGGATCCTGAAATCCACTTGTAGACACACTACGGGATTACATTCATTTTACCCAACTTTCTGTTTCGTTTTTTTTTTCTGTCTCTCTCTCTTCAGATAAATGATATAACATGGAATAATATGAACGATGGGGACGTCTTCATATTGGAAGCTGGGAAACTAATATTCGTATGGAGTGGCAGGTATGCCAACAACATGGAAAAGATTCAGGTGAGATAACAGTTATTAAACCCAAATTGGGTTAGTAAAAAATGTTAGGTAACTTGTATTGGAAACCTTTCGTGGATTTTTTATGTACATATTACGTTGCAGACGATATTTTTAACTGGTGCTTAACAGGTCGATGAAATATCGTTTACACCACATTATCATGTTACCTAAGTTACTGACATTATGCTCAGTTTCAATCTAAGAATAAATGTAACTTGTTTGCCCCCCAGTGGCACAGCGGTATGTCTGCGGACTTACAACGCTAGAAACCGGGTTTCGATACCCGTGGTGGGCAGAGCACAGATAGCCCTTGTGTAGCTTTGTGCATAATTAAAAAACAAAAACAAACGTAACTTGTTTATTTACATTCCATATAAATACATTAATGTAAACAAGATAATCCTCTCTTTGCTTCTGGTTTGAGAGTTCCAGGTTCTTGCTTTTTTAACTAAACAATTGTTTACTCCAATTGTTTCGCGTATTGCTTAGGTTAACGATTGTTTCTGGAGTCGTTAACTGATTATGCATAATATTATTATATTTTGATTTGCTAGGGATCAGGATATATATATTGTTCAATGTCAGTTATTGCATTTATCTAAAGTGTTGCTAGGGGCACGAATTACTCGAGAACTTATATTTGTTTGCTCCAGATTGTCATGTTTATTTCGTGTGTTGCTAGGGTGCACGGTTAGCTCAAGAGTTGAAAGCAGAACGTGGGGACGGATCTATTGTTACTGTAGATGATGGGAAGGAAAAAGGCCTCACGGCTGTTGAGAAAGAGGTAAAATTTTGTTGGTTCTTTGCGATATGTGATTGTTTATGATTTCAGAACTGTAAACAACATTTAATATACAACATTTAATTCATCTAATCAAAACTTAATTATATAATTATTAGTTATCAAATTGAAGATTTGTTAAAGCGTTTTTTATATGTTTGAACAAATGAATAGTTAGATGTACGATCATTGTATATTTACTTAACTATACATGGACTACACAATCAGTTTCAATGCTGTTTTGTTGAAAGAAACGGTTGAGCAAATATTTTGTTACAGGCTTAATGTAGAAAAAATCTAAATATCATAAACAGAACAAAATCACATTAAAACCTTCGCTACCAGTATTTCAAAAGCATGATTAATTCCATCTTCCTCTTTTTTGTGAAGTCGAGTTATAGTGGTTAGGATGTCAAGCTTCAGGTCAGAAGGTTCAAGGTTCGAGACGCGATGCTGTTGATAAAAACAACAACAACCACAATAAATATTCTGCATTTTAAACTGTGGCCACATTATAAAAAAGGATACTAAATCCAATTATTCTGTCCCAGGAGGCGGATAAAACTCTTGTGACGCTGTATGTTGCTGATTGACTGTTCTCCTGGTCATTATTTCTAAATTAGGACGGTTATATCTGAGCCCTAGACCATGTTAGCCGTTGTGCGCATAAGGTACCGTTCTGGTTAAAAAATATACTCAGTGATAAGTGACGTATGATGGAAGGGAGAGGGGGGGATTGTTAAAGCCCGGTATATACCCCCTCCCTCGGCTACGTCTACGCTTTTGTCCTAAGCATACTGTGGTTATTCCCAGCCTGGTGTTGACTCGCAATCTGAGGTTCGCAGGTTCGAATCCCCGTCCCTCCAAGCATGCTCGCCCTTTCAGCCATAGGGTCATTATAATGTGCCGGTCAATTCCACTATTTATTGATAAAAGAGTAGCCTAAGAGTTGGCGGTAGGTGGTGGCGACTAGCTGCTTTCCCTCTAGTCTTTCACTACTAAATTAGGGACGGCTAGACCAGATAGGCCTCGTGTAGCTTTGTGCGAAATTCAAAACAAATCAAACCAACCTGGTTACATAAGAGTTATACAAAAGTATTTCACTAGTGATTACTGTTTTATCACCACTAATGTCATGACTGACGAGTGGTTTATCGAGGTCATGGGAATCCAACTGATAAGTGAATGGTATTCAGCTACTCACTAGGCTTTTATTTTTTTACATGAAAGTTTAATACCAAATGTACCAACCGTACAGTACCAGTTGTACAGTAACTTTTGTACAACCTGTATGTATATCTATTTATATATATGTATTCTATGTTCTAACTGCTCTAGGTGTTCAACAAGTGGCTACCAATAAAAGAGAAGAAGCTGAAAAGTTACAAAGATGTAGTTGCTGATGACGTCATTGAAAGAAAGCTTAGAAAAGAACTGAAACTCTACAGGTGTGTACAGTAGTACAGGGTGGGACGAAAATATTTGGCAGTTTCTTTTATCGATAGCCTAGTCAACAAGCATAATTGAATGTTCTGGTCTAGTGAGATTATCCATATGATTTTTAATGTTGACTGGAATGCACGAAGCGTGTGTATTGAGCGTGGCATTTCTAGTCATGACCTAGTTATCACGTCCTTGTAATTTAAAAAGTAACTAAACACAAGTTATGTTATGATTAACGATTTTATTCATCGCATACTTATATATAAAACTGTGTTACGAACGAATTTTTTTTATATTAATTGATAAAGTTACAGCCTTAAAGGATAAATAATTATAAAAGAAAAATTATTTACACGTTTGATAAACCAAACGTTGAGAAATTCTTAATTACACATCGAATTTCAGTCGACTTAAATAATAAATAAAAATGATTTCTTGGACAATATTAGATATTTCTATGACAAAAGAAATATAAATTTTCTCTAGCGGGGATTAACAGATCAGGATTAAACTACCCTTAGCAATCTAGAGGGGATTAACATATCAGGATTAAACTACCCTTAGCAATCTAGAGGGGGATTAACATATAAGGATTAAACTACCCTTAGCAATCTAGAGGGGATTAACATATCAGGATTAAACTATCCTTAGCAATATAGAGGGGATTAACATATCAGGATTAAACTACCCTTAGCAATCTAGAGGGATTAACATATCAGGATTAAACTACCCTTAGCAATCTAGAGGGGATTAGTATATCTAGGAAGGCCTATCATAATCCTCAACACCCTCTTTTGCAAAAGCCAGATAGGTCGTAACACACCAAAGTGCGCGTCCCAAACACCTAAATAATAACTCATTTGACTATAGTAGCTGGCATAATAGATTTGACTACTACAGACTACTCTGGCTAGCTTTTAAGAAATCATCTAAGATTGTTCTCAATAATAATTCCTAGAATCTTTATTGAATCAACCCTGGATGGAGTAATGTCATTAAAACTGAAATCACTTCCCTAGATATAATCTTATGTTGTGACTTGCAAATGTTTAAAACCAGGCTGGTGTCAAGAAGCCAGGTAGCAATAGTAAACAACATTGCCTATTTATCACGTGTGTTTTAAGAATATCATAAATATTACCACGTAGACCATAATAAAAACACTTATAAAGTGAAACTGTATGATTATCGCTTGTCAAATGCCATGGCAACACCTAGGGCACAAACTAAAACAATTTTTTGGCCTCATAAGCCTTGTAGTAATTGCCAATAGATATTTTTCGGTAGATTTGTGATTACTGAAACCAAGTTACTAATTACTTGAGACCTTATTTTTCTGGAGAAATATAATTCTATTGTGAAGCATACGCTCGACAATACGAGCGAATGTAGACGAGATGGGAATAGGCCGACAATTTTCCACACGATCAAGATCACCATCCTTGTGCAATATGGGTACAATCTTAGCAATTTGAAGAACCTTAAGAAATCTACCAGTAATACATATTTCAGTAACAAGTACACTTAAGGGTTCAATACTTGGATCACTAGCAGATTTAATCACTGATGGTAGAACATCATCCCATCCGGCAGAAGAAGAAGAGTCACAGTTACAGGTGTAAGATAAAGAGACTGAGTTATAGGTGTATCCTGACATTTAATGTTTTTAGTGGGAGTAACACCCTGTCTATAAAAATAATCATTAAAAATACTAGTAATACCAGTAGGACTCGTGTTGATACAAATACGTGTAATCTTGGTATTACTTTCTTTAGTCCTACCCAGTTGTTTTTAATGGACCGCCATATGCAACGAAAATCCTCATCCTGAAAACATTTGTCAAAATACCTAGCTTTGTGATTGGCAACTTAACGTCGAACAAGCACCAGATATTTATTACCTGTATGTTTAAAGTGACGACAGAGTTTTTGCTTACGTTTAATCATACGTAATAAAGTCTCAGTCATCCAAGGTGGGTATCTGGCATTATTCAACTTAACAACTTTAGGAAATGGAAACACGAATTATACAGTTTACGACATTAGGTTTTTCCATCTGTAATATGGCTTCAAGTAACGTCATTTAAGACAAGATTAAAATTCTTCAGTGCATCAGCATTATTGAGTCTTTTTTGTATTGTTATAAACGTTAGTGGAATTAATGTCACAGCGAGAGATAAAGATAACGCACAACGATCTGAAATGTTACAACAACTTACACCAGGAACTACATCACAACAATTTGTAAAAATATTATCGAGTATCGATACAGCGGCCCCTACTATCCTAGTAGGTTGGTGAATACAAGAATTTGCATTAATGACAGACATCTAATTCTTTAATTCAAGCACAAAACTTCGACCAGTAAAAGTGTGGGTACACTAAACAAAATCGCATTAAAATCACCCAAAAATAGTACCGAATTATGTGAATTCATATTATTAACGAGTGAACCCAGTGTATCTGTAAAATCACTCCATTTATTAATTTGCAAATTCTTCAATACTAAAACTACATAATTCAATATGATCGGTCACAATAACAGAATTGAAATTATATTCATACTTTAGATCAAAACATGTATATATAACAATTTATACCATTATGCCCAGAGGGTCTACCAAAGAAACTACATTTTAACTTGGTAAAGGGGTAGGAGGCTTTTTTGACAATATCATGATTCAAGAAATATCAATATATTAGGTTTAAATTCACAATAAAAAGTTGATTTATGACATCATCAATCTTATATCTAATACTTCTAACGTTTAAACGTTAAGTTTGCTGTTCATTGTTAATCTTATTAATAGGTTCCTCTTTAAACTGGTTTAGATTAAGTCTGGGGTGAAAAACAAATCTGACAATTAAACCCTCAGGCGAAAAAAATTTCGTTGCTATTTCCGAAGACCAGTCACGATCAACACAAAATGAAATTGATCTAGTCATCCTGAAATTAATCTAGTCGTCCTGAAGATGACCTAGTCATCATTTCTGAAGTTAGCTGTTCACACTTCTGTTTTCAAAAATGACTCAATATCTGTCTCCGTAGTACCTAGTGCACATAGACCAATAATAATTTCTTGTTTCCATCATAAGCTGATTTCAATAAACCATCTCGAGTGACAATAGTTGAATTAGTTCGCTTCCGTGGTTATTTTCTCATACGTTGGACCAAAACAAATTATTCCACTGGGTCATCTTGAACTTATCGTCAGAAATTGATCTCAAAGGGTGGCACTATTTCCAAAATTTTCTTTATTATTCCTTTTTAGTTCACTATTAAATCTGTTAAATGAATTAACCGTGAGGCTTAGTTTTAACTGTAGAAGCATAAGTTTTAGAGTTGTTAGTTTTCGTGGAATTAACTTCCAAATCACGCCTATTTTTCGGCACTAAAATTACAACATTATGGCAATGAAGAGCCAATAGTTCCTTTATACATTCTATTATTTCATTGCTACATAACTCAAGCTCATTCTTCAAACTGATGTGTTCTTTCATTACAAATTTACGTTCTATTCTACTGTCAAATCCTTCCAGAAAAACTAGATAACTACTGTCATCATCAATTTACGTATGCATATTGTTAATTAACCTTCACCTTGCACTTCAGCTCGAGAATCCAGTTTTTACACTTATCTTTACACTTAGAACATTTCCTCTGTTTATTCAATTCACACGTAACATTAAATTCTTCGTACGCTATACTTACACATTTATTGTGATACTTTAATCAGCATATGAACAAGAAATAACAGTATTTTCGGTCTTGCCCGCTGCAACATTAGGAGAGCAAATTTCGCACACGTCACTACTGGTTGCCAATATGTTTTATTTGAAAAAAACATAATACAATAGTAGATACGGGATTCTGGACAGAGGTGGGGTCCAATGTTAAGACCTGAATATAAGCTTATTGATATAAAGGCTTAAATGTAATGATACATGTAATTCCTTAATACTATATAATTTAATAAAATAAATATATCATTAATGTTTTAAAAACGATATTAATAATAAAGATAAGGGATATTCCTTTCCAGTTTTTATTAATGGTATAGAATAATTATTACTTATTTCATAACTTCACAAATTGAATAACAAAGTTTCCATTCTCGTCAATTTTTTTTGGCTTTGATAAAAGGGGGCTTTTACTCTCTGTACCTCACTGTATTCTAGTTTGAATGAATAGTGTGGTTCATAAAATTTATATGTAATTGTGTTTTGTTTTCTTAGAGTGTACGGTGGTTTGTTTGAATTACTCAGAAAATACATGTAATGCTTTCGGCATAATTGAAATCAATTCTTTGACAGATGCTGTGATGAGGGTGGTACCTTAAAGGTTACAGAGGTCAAAGGTGGGCCTCTTGATCAGTCTGATTTAACCTCGCAGGTAGGATCACCTGTTTAGTCACATTTATATTTTTAGATTAATTATCAATTATTATTACAGTCAGACAGGGAATGTAAGAGGTAATAATTTTGTTCTCTTAGTGAAATGTAGTAAAAAAGTGTTATTTCAGTATAATACGCAAATGCTTAAAATCTACAGAAAATTATGTAGTGATTTACAATGGTCAGGATTTTTTTTCACAACTTCTGTCAAAATAAAGATAAAAAAACATGTCCAGCAATATATATATTTCTTTTCAAATGTGACGAAACGAAGTGTGTAAAGCACTGCAACGGTTTGTCGATGACGTCATTCCCAATGATCTATAAAACACATCGTTGTCGTTGTTTTAACCCTAAAGTTTGTTCGTTACTTTGTACAGGATTCCTACATAATAGATAACGGGGAAGCAGGCATTTGGGTGTGGGTAGGGAAACGAGCCAATACAAAAGAGAGAACGGAAGCTATGAGAAATGCCCAGGTGAGAATCCTTTTGACACATTTTTTATGACTTGGAATGTAGTATCTTTTTTAAGTGTGACTTTTGATCCTTAGAAACTAAAGTAGAAAGAAACGAGCATTACTTATTTTAAAGTTACTCAGAAATGATACTGGTTGTTAAATTTAGTTTGTATATCGAATTTAAGTTTGCTAGCGAGATGGAAATATAAAGTTATTATTAATATGAGTACAAAATGATGTGCAGTAGGTAGATCAAGAAGTAATGTATTAATTTGCGCTTGACCATGTGTATGTGGAACACATTTACAAGACGTTAATGTTATTATTTTTCAACTGAATTGAAAAAAAATATATATTGAAAAAAAAACTTGTCATACATATTATGATTCACAAGGTTTACTCGAATGTGATTCATGTTTGCTGAATAAACTTACGCTAGCTATAATTAATAAGTACATTGATAATAATACATTAATAATTAGTAAATATACAAGATTTTAAGTACACGATATCAAAATTAACTATACAATAATTCATTTTTTTAAATATTCGCAAGGTTTAATTTTCAACTTCAAGTCCCCCGGTTGGATAGCGGTAAGTACAGACTAAAACGCTAAAATCTGGGATTCGATTTTCTGCAGTGTACACAGTAGATAGCCCAATGTGGCTTTGCTGTAAAAGAGACAATTAGATTTCACGCTCCTTTTATGGTAATGTTCGACAATATATATCGTTCTTTAGCAACAGCAATGGTGTTTATATTGAATGCTCAATATTCATGTCGATTTCTTAGAAAAATTTGTTTTTTTATATTGTTTATTTACAAAGTAGTGTTTCAGCTAAGCCTTACGCTACGTTTATGGATTAGGCGTAATGCTTAAATTAGACTACAAATAAGCCTACTATTATTAACGTTATAGTCAGTATTTAAAAAGTTTTAAGTGGTGAAGAAATATTGATTATTATATATTCTTTTAGTATTTTAACACATGTATTACCTACTTGGCACTAAAACATAAATAAACCTTTATTACTACCAAATATCTCTTATCCTTTGAACAGCCGAAAGAGTTGAAAATCTGTGTAGGAATGTCCACGTTTTTTTTTCGTTTTTTTCTGACCTAGAATACAGTGAAAAGACTCGAGTGCTATTTAATTTTTTTTCAGAGTGCACACGTACATTTGTTCACGATAACATTTCATTTTTCTGCTTAGTTTTTACTAAAAATGTGGTGATCAAAGAATGACTTCAAGACTGATGAAATAAGTGAAGAGTAGGTTGGAGGCACAGACAAATTGGTTTTGGTTAAATTCTATAATTTTCTTTAATCATTCAACAATTCATTCTTGACGGGCTTTTATACTAGTAAATATATAATTTAGGTAAAGATAATATATTTACTGTGATAATGATAACATGCACTTTATAATATTTTGTAACTAATTATAGTACTTAGATTTATGAAATAAGTACCCCCCCCTCCCCTCCCCAGGTTATACCACAATGGAAGATTGGTTGTTTGGCGTTTTATAGCGCTAAGCAACGGGACTGAAAGATACAATTAAACCCAGTATAGATATCTTTCATATGAATAAGGAAACTTTTTTTTAAGTAATATAACTTTACTGCAACATTTTTTTTTCTCTTTTTGTTTATTTTAATTTGTCTTTCCAGTTAAATCTATAATAAATTGTTATTTCAAGATACTTTAGTATATTTTGATTTTTTAAAAAATAGTTTGGATTATTTTTAATTATTTGTTTTGATTCTTTTGAAGAAAATATCGTAGACTGTTTTCTTAACATTGAAACATAACACATTTCATTAAACCACTTCTTAATATATATCAAATCATTATTTAATTGTTTGATAACGTCCCTATCAGCTTTTAATTATCTATTAATACTGAAGTATCTGAGAAACTAGTTATTTCTCCAATAAAATTAATTCTACAGTAATAACATAAATTAAATAAAAAGTAGCAATGGACCAAAAACTAATCCATGGGGTACTCCAGTAGTAATATCGGACCCACTTGAAAAAAAAAAAAAAAATGTAGACGTTATAATAAAATAGACTTGTATCGATATAATTTGAAGCCACTATAAAAGAAGCTCAAAGTCATATCTATACAATTTTAAAGAATGATACATCACACCAGGAAGCTAACATTTCTCTTAATCAAGGGGTGAAAATTCAGCATTGTAGCATTCTGGGCACCATGGCTTAGTTTATTAATCAAGTAAATATAGTCATTGGTTCGAATCCTGCCAATATCATTAGGGAATAAAAACTGATAAAATTCATAAACAAAATTTCAAGTCCATATTGCAAAAATATTGCACCTGCTATGGATTAGAGCACCATCTATTGTCAAATGCTGTTCGTCTATCAACGTAGGGGTTTATCAAGAAGAAAACTTATCGAAACTACACCCAAGTAACCAGAGTTATCGAAGGTGGAGAACCACCAGAATTCCAGTGTTTATTCAGAACTTGGAGAGATCCTCACCACACTGTTGGCCTTGGTAAAACTCACAACGTTGGAAAGATTGGTAAATATATATAAAAGAATTAGACAGTGTATTTACATGTTGAATAGTTTCCTATGGACAATTCCTGCCTTTTGTCTGGTTTTAAAGACGTTTCGGACTTTGTGCGGAATCCTGCATGACGTTCGAATGCAGATGTTCATAGGTAACTAAATATTAATTTTAAAGGATTTTAAAACAGTTACGATAAATAAGAATTTTAAAACAACAATAATAAATTATATCAGGACAAGGAGGTATAGTTTATTTAAGAAAAACAATTATAATATATTTATGATTCTGAACAAGTGCAAGTTGTGTAAAGGTGTTTTAAAGAACCAGAAAATCCTTATGATAATTGTCGTATCTCAGATTATTTATCATTTAGTAAAATGTATAGTCCAAGTGTTATTTTTCTTACTTTTGATAAACTCATTTGCTGATTACTTGTTTATAGCCAAGACAGTTCAGACAAAGTTTGATGCCTCTACGCTGCACTCAAACATCCGTCTGGCAGCGGAGGTACAAATGGTGGATGACGGTAAAGGAACTAAAGAGGTATTTGTTCACCAGGCCGTTAGAGATTTAAACTTGCAACAGTAAAGATAGCTTAAATTCGTCACAGTTATAAGCTAAACACAGGCATGCACAGAAACAGTTGTTTAGAGAACGTAAAGAGGATTAGGTACTTGGAAATCACGTGACTGCTAATTAAAAACAACAACAACAAATACAAGTCTTTCTTTTAAACAGGGTGGTACAAAAGAAACAGTGTATGTGTAATATGATGCATGTATATTCTTATGTAGTGTGTGTGTATATACTTGATCCGGGTGTAGCCAATTGATTAACGTGCCCGATCTGTGAATCCGAACATTCGGATTCCGAAGCTCTTCCACAAAAACGCACTCTGCACTATGGGAAAGTGGATGCCCTATAGATTGACAGTCAAATGCCATTCTTGGAGAGTTGCTTTCCTTCTAGTCTATCGGTTCAAAATTAAAGATATCAATGCGCTGTTGGTTAAATGTATATACTATAGGGAAGACAGCTAGTCAACACTACCCACTGCCAATCTTTGTCCACAAATAACAAGACTGATCGTCTCATTATAAACCTCTCGCGGCTGAAAGAGCGACTGTGTTCGGTGACGGGATTCTATCCCCCCCCCCCAACCAGCAGATTGGTAATATAGAAACTAACTAACTAACTGGGCTGGTAATGTAGTGTTTCGCACTATTAGTGCGAGTGTTTTTCTTTGTTTCTACATCAACAACAACCTCCCCCCCCCCTCTTGCTCATTGTGTAGCTTTGTGCTTAATAATAAACAACAATAGCACTAGGAAGACGCACGTGTAGTTTATGGGGAAACGCCATTGTTGTGAAGCTTAGCGTTAACATTATCATTTGTAAAGAACTGTCCAGTCTTCATTTAAAACTGGATTCCGGATTTCGTGGTTTCATAATATTTATACAAAATTGGACAACTCTATAATCATTGCTAAGCCTATTTCATCGAAATGTATAAAGAGATTGCTACTATTATGATAAGCAAAAAATTACTTTCTGTGGCGAGTTATAAACACTAGGTTTTTGAATTTGATATTAAATATGATGATACCCATGATATTTATTGTAAGGATAATATCAACATTCAGAATATTTAAGTGAACCCTATAAAAAGATTCGGAATAAAATATACTTTATAAAATTGTTTTGAAATGTATGTGAAAGTTACTGTTATAATGTATAGTATAGAGATTGAGATTTTGATATGAATATGTATCGCTGGTTTTTGATATACAGGTTTTTCGAGTTCAGAGCTTCGACCTTGTACAAGTTGATCAGAAGGAAATAGGAAAGTTCTACAGTGGAGACTGCTATATTGTTGTGTACGCTTATAGCGATGTAGAAAAAGACAATTTTATGATCTACTATTGGCTGGTAAGTTGCCCAAATCGTATGAGATTCAATAGATATTACTAGGGCTTCATAAAGAACGCTTTACCGATAATAATAATAATAATATTTTTTCTCTAAGAGTAGAATGACAATTTATGAAATATTCTGGACCAAAAAAGTACTCGAGTCATGCGATTTTGTAAAGATCAACCTGTATATAAGCTAGTGAAACTTTCAAATACAGTTTTGGAAGAGAACAACAATGGCATAACCGCAGCCGGTTTTTTATAACAATTGATGTGAAATACCATTGTTATGAAGTTTAGTGTTAACTTTATCATTTGTACAGAACTGTCCAGTCAAAACTCGCTGTAACATTTTAACTGCAACAGGTTGCTTGATCAAACATGTCTGTCAGGGTAAGTCAGGAAAGTGGCTACCAATTATATCAATATGCAGAAATACTGTATAGTATCGATGGTGGCGTCCTCTATTGATATAGGAAAATTAAGCTCGATAATGTGAAACTGTCTCATTATAGAGGTTTAAATCTGAGACTTGTCAGAAAGTTTGAATCTTATTGTCAGCGAGATTTTTAAGTTAAAATACACTTGCAAAATATTTTTTGAGTAAGGAATATCTTGAGTATTTGCGAAAGTTTTCAAATGTAGGAAATAAACGTTCGTAGCCTTTCTGTAGGGAGCCAAGTCTACCTTAGATGAACAAGGAACGGCTGCTTTAAAAACAGTTGAGCTGGACGAGAAGTTGGACGGAAGAGCTGTCCAGGTAAGTTATCAATCTCGTCGTTCAGAGTGTTGTTGGTGATTCGTCGTCGAGGTAGGTATTTTTGTTTAAAACCAGGGGTGTTCAGAAACTTGGATTTCTCTTCGCCCGCTCTAGGCTGATTTCTCGCTTATTTTTGAACTTCCTGAAATTGTTTTAGTGGTTTCTGGGAGTGAATATTGGTGATTACTTTTTATTATTTCATAATATACTGTCTGATGTATCTGATATGACAACCGACCCCCCCTCATGTCGCTCTCCGGGGCCCTGAAGGGATGCGTGTTGTAAATGGCGCCATTGTACTTGTATGCTAATTATACACGTACCTTAGGTTTATAAGTAATGTTATGTGTACTTCTTGATGGATTCTCTTGAAGATGGTGTAATTATTTACATCGAAACATGTTGAGTTTTATGTTTCTTTTGATTTGTATATTTTTTAATTTTTAACTTTACAAATAAATGTTTGTGCAAGTATAAAACGTTGATCTTCGTTCTATTATTTTATTTAAAAATATCCTCAACTTTAAAACTTTATCCACTTCGTCTCTGTCTGTTAACCAATAAAGTGGTAAATTAATTTAAATAACGCGTTTTTTTTTGTTACAATACACAATTAAGAAACGCTCATAAAAGTGTGTTGAAATATAGTTCAAAACTCCCTAGATGGCGAGGCGTTTACAAACATCTGATGTTACTCGCCATCCTCCCCTTCCCAGTGGCATAGCGGTAAGTTTGCGGACTTATAACGCTAGAAATCGGGTTTCGAGACCTGTAGTGAGCATAACACAGATAGCCCCTTGCGTAGCTTTGCGCTTAACTACAAATAAACAAATTGATGTGGATAGATCAAATAAGAAAAGTTGGATTGTCGATTGTTTTTAACAAATATATTCACGGAAACGTTTGTCCTCCAACTCAAACGTTTGTCCTTGAATATTTGGTTTATAGAAAACTATTAGTAAACACTTCTCCCCCCCCCCCCCGGTGGTTCAACGGTATACGAACTTACGAGCCTAAAGTCTGAGGTTTGACTCCTCCCGGTAAATAGAGCACAGATAACCTATTGTGTAGCTTTGCATTAAAACAACAATAACAATTCCTTGACGCTGTCTTCTACCACAGTCTACTTGTTGTGTTACTTTCCCTTTGATCTACCACAGTAGAGGTATCCTGTATTCTGTCATTCCTATAAACAACCGATAAACCTGAGATAATATTACACGTTGTCAATTGGAAAGCCCAGGTAAGTCAATTTCTGTGTTTACAAATAATTACATAAAGTAGACACACGTACGCAAAATCTCTAAACAGTGTAGTGAATCTTCATATTGTGACTTTAACTTGGAGCATAACAATAACTAGCATGCAGAGAAAATACATGCTTGAATTACACACACGCGCGCGTGGATTAGCGATATGGAGCCCGTATTTAGTGCGCCTCCCACCCCCTCCCGCCGGTTTCTACTCCATGATAGTTATGTCACCAGGGATTAGTAGGGCTTTAACACGACACTGTTTTCAGCACGGGGCATACAATATGTAATCAATAATGTAGTGTTATACATTTCAGACAAACAAAATGTAACCAGCTATATACTTTTACTAGTTTGGGATGTAGGTAACAGCTAACTAATGTTCATGTGTAAATATCAGATTTCACTAAAATAGTATCGTTCGCACAGCACATCAACTGTATGTGCACGATTCTCTTCTGTAAATTATATACAACTTTTGATGTAACACGTATTGCAAGATGGTACAAACTTGTTTATTCCTGTGCTATTACACCAAGAAGACCCGTTAATCTTACTGGACAATCAAACGTGATACAGATTCCGAAGAAATATGAATTTCTCTGTTAAACCATAGCAGCTAATTGTACTGGTTTCTTCAGGCCATTTCTTTTTCAGGCCGAGTAACCTTAATTGTGAATTTTCTTCTCATTTAAATTGGTTATTTCAGTGAAGAAAAGAAAGAATCCATGAATAATGAGGAGGCCTAATCTATTATTTCATTATATTAGTTTACTAGACTACCCGTGACCCGATGGGTCACCCACTATTCAGAGGTT